CCTGCTAGCCAGACATGGAAAGACTAGCAACTCAGACAGGGAGAATGCCAAGCACCAATGACATTTGCCTCTAACTTGAGCATCCACTGCTATCCGCTAGATAAGGAAGGTTCAAGGATTGGACATGACGTTCACCTGAAGTCCTACAATATTCTAACACCTTGTCAAAAACAAGAATGAAAACAAGGTTTAACTTTTCTAGGTTAAAAGCACTCCAGCAGGGGCCGGGAATTTAGCTCAGTGGTTCTGGCACCTGCGCAAGGACCCAAGGTCAATCCCCAGTACCAAAAAATAAAAAAAAACCCAAAACAAAGAAAAACAACACTCCAGCTCCAGCCTTACAGCTCAAATCATAAAACCACAACCAAAGAACCATTTCCTATCCTACTGATGTCAATATAGTGAAATTACGCAAAAAACATTTTAAGCCACGTATTACTGTATCCTTTAAACCTTCTAAATGCTACCTCAAGTTATATCTCCATAAATAAGATGAAATTTTCTTTGCTAACCAAAGACTTTAAAAACAGGGTTGCTTAAATTAGTTCAAAATTTATTTTGTACCTTTCCCATGAAGCACAGAATTCAAATGACATGTATAATTTAAAATTTCACGGCAATAGATCATTTTGTCAATGATCTATTTATTAAAATGGTGTGATAATTGTGGCATCAATGTCAATCAGAAACACCTAGCAGATTAGTGCAGCACAGATCCAGGTGTATGGATGACTCACTGAAGAGGGGAGATCCACCCTGACTGTTGGTGGCAACAATCAGTAGACTTGTAGCCTAGATGGAAGAAAAAGGGAAGTTGGCTTCCTTTGTGCTTCTTCAAAGGGACTCCGGTTTTCATCATTGCCTTTGGACACTGATCTCCAGTTCAGCCTGCCAATGCAGATCCTTTGGCTTCTCCACCCATATGGACTACACCAGATATTTCAGTGATCTGTAGCTCTCCAGAGCCTCTTTGCAATCTTCCACCCTGTGACTCCACTGTCCAGGTGGCCACTGTAAGCTTACCTTGTACATCTCTGGCATGCGTATGTGTGCGTGTTAAAATTTACCATATATATATTCCATTATGTGCATTTTAATTTTTAAAAAGTAAATTTGGTGTAACATACTTCTACAAGCACCTGTCTTTAAGTAGTGTTTTTAGCTATGTTGCTAATTTGTAAACTGGCATGTTAATTTCATTGTAACCTGACATGTTGTTGTGGCTTGTGTCTACATGTCCCTCCAAAGCCTTATGTACTCATAGGTAGGACTTTTTCAGAGGTGGGTGGATCTAGAGTGTATGATTACTCCTAAGTGTGTGCTGGGATTAAAGGTGTGTGATGACTAAATTAGTCTAAGGACTGATTTGGCATAGTTCTGGGTAGGATTAAGGGTGTTTTACCCTGGTTGTAAGAGCTACCAGCCCTAAAGGTGGGTACCCCAGATAAAATATAAGGGACAGAAACAAGGCTAGTGTTGTCACTTGCTGCTTTGCTGTGAACTGTTTCTCCTCTGTGATGCCTCTCTGCCAAGCCACCATGCCCTGGAGCCGGCCAACTATGAACTGAAACTGCTACAAACTATGAGCTAAATAAACCTTTCCTCCTTTAACGATGGGTGTCAGGTATTTTGTCTTAGAAAAGAAAAAAAGTAAGACATGTCATCCAAAATGTGGACCTGGTGATAGTGGAGATGCTACACAACATATCAATCTAAGTGGTAGTTAAGGTGTACAGTAAGTCCCCAACTTATAAATGAGTTCCATTCCGGGAGAACGTTTTTAAGTCAGATTCACTAGTATGTCTGTCAAAGTGAGTGTTATACTGTAAAGGAGTTGAGTGTGAATCTCAACTTCACCATTTGACTTGTTTAGGATCCTGCAGAACTTAGTCTTAGTTTCCCATAAATAAAACTGGAATAATCAGTGTCTATCATAAAGGGTATGTGCAGTGTTATAACAGTACCTGGTCCACAGTAAATACTCTTATTTGTGTAAGCAGCCATTATCATGTTATCAACTATGCTTTGTAGGTCATTGTTCTCAAAGTGCATTCTGTTGATTACCTCAATGAGACTCATCCGAGAAGATTATTTAAAACTGAGTTTCTGTTTGGGCTATATAGCTCAGTGCCAGAACACTTGTCTAGTACATACATACAGGGCCCTGAGTTTGATCACCAATATTCAGTGTGTGTGTGGCAGGGGTTGTCGCTGCAGGTTTTCGTATTATCTTACATCAGAAACAGAATCTCAAAAGAGAAAATAGGGCCAGGGATTTAGCTCTGTGGTTCCACCACCTGTCTTGCAAGCGCAAGGTCCCGAGTTAGATCCCCGGTACCAAAAGAAAAAAAAAGAATGTCAAAAGAAATAAAATATAAAAAGAAATAGAATCTCTGGCTGTAAGTTCCACTTATAAAACCTACTACTGCATAGGAAGTGGATGGGAATTAACACTTGAATTCAGATAAAGTGATCAGATGCCAAAGAGCACCAGAAGTACTAGCCAGAAGACGTCTCTGAAACTTTCTGGATTAGAAGAACCACAGTTTTGATTTTCTGTATGTCTTTCTTGCAAATGCACCGAAGTCTTACCAAAGAATTCTAGCAAACATATCCTAGAAATTCCTACAGATTTCTACTATTCCTCAAGGTACACACACACCCTGCAGTACAAGGAACTGAACCCAGGTTCTATGCACTGAGCTACATCCCAGCCCTTTTTTTTCATTTTTTGAGACAGGATCTTGCTAAGTTCCCCAAGTGAGACTCACACTAGTGATCCTCTTGCTTCAGTCTCCCAAGTTCTGGAATTACAGGCATGAACTACCAGGCCTGGTTTAGTATTCCCCAATTTTGTTTTAAATTTAAAGGGTGGGGCCAGAGATATAACTCACTGGTAGAGCACTTGCCTAGCATGTGCAAAGCCTTGGTTTGATTCCCAGCAACATAAAAATAAATTCAAGGTACAGCAAGGCCTAGCTGCAGAAGTCCAGGCACCAAGTGAAGGTGTCCATTTAAAAGCACTTAAGCACTACTATTACAGCTCTGAACTAGATCCAATGGGGTTGGGGATTTAGCTCAGTTGTTCTGCCACCTGCTTCGTAAGCCCAAGGACCTGAGTTCAATCCCCGGTACCAAACAAACAAACAAACAAAAAATACCCATATCCACTGAATCAGAGTCACAGAAACAACCTACACAAGGAAACTTCAAAAAGAACATAAAACTTTATTAAGACCATTTATATATACTGTCATCAGATACAGCCAAAGAAAAAAGGATAAACAAACAGGAGAGTTCATCTTCCCATGTGCTACTGCCACCTCAGAACAGTGTGGGTGGCTGAATCAGAGTTGTCAACAAATACTCTGTATAAGTAAATTCATTAAGTAACACAACGTTCCTTTTCCATACAGAGACTGGGAAGTACACTTTAAAAAGCTTTGACATAGTGCAACAATTGTGAAATATGACTACATCTTGAGGAGCTATTTCTTAATAGAATACAAAGCAGTTTAGTAGCTTTATGTTATTCCATGTTATATAAATTTTTAGAATGGAAAATTCAGAAAGAACCTTCTACCTTTCCCTAAAATTAACTTTTACTTTTGAAATTTTTCTCTCTAAAGAGGTGTCAGGACCAGTTCAGTAGCTATACTGTGAAGAGATGAGCTGCTCCTTTACAGTGAAAACTGATAACCTCCGTTTGTTCTTTTAATTTTGCAAATCAAGATCACTAGGTCATTCCAGCTTTTGCTGATTCTGAAGGATTTCTAATAGAAAAACAATGATTCAGAGTGCTGTGGAAAAGGTACCAAAATAGCGGCATATGGAACGGTTTTCCTCATAGGGAGGTTGGTATTGAGCACAACTCATTTTCTCAGATTCGTAGTTCCTCAATATGGTTCTTTTACTTGCTGTAGTGATGGGAAGGAGCAGGGGCAGTGCCAGGGAATCTGTTCCAACTGCCACTCCAGACAGCAACCTGTGCTGTTTATGGAGAGAAGAGTGATGGCATCCATTCAAAGCACAGTACCCCTCATTCAAGCATGGTGACATGCTTTTCTCTCGAGGGGCCAGGCCAAACCACACTCAGCTGCATGATTTGCCTCAGGTACACAGTGAAGAAAATGCTCATGATTAACAATTTGGTGTTATAGTACTCCCAACCTAACCCCATTTACTATGAAAATTTAGTTTTCCTTTTAGGAAGACTATTTACTGCTAAGGCTCACTAAGTTAACTATCATAAGGCTGAGAACATGACTTCTAAAACAGATTACTGTTTATGTTCAGTTAGGGAGCTACCCAACTGAAGTTTGTGGAGGACTGATCAAGGAGTGGGATTCAGGCTCTTGAGTACTATTACTTATCACAAATCTCATCAAGCTCTTTAAAAAAATAATGCATTTTTATCATAAATATTTAGAGTAGATACTGGCATTAAAATCAGTATCTAAGTCAGAAGTCTGTCTTTAATGGTGAAAAATTCCAACAAACTTCTCAAAGATTTCAAATGTTCCCACAATTACATAGTTTATAAATTAGTTTTAAATGGGAAAAAATATATATATATATATTGAATGGATAAATCACCACTTTAGCAGATCATAAATAAGGTCAAGATATGGAAAATAAATTAACATAGAAGATTTTGCTTTCACATTTGCAACAACAATAGCTAGGTATACTTTCATAATAGATACAAGCAGGTTTTCTAATTGCATATTTGTTACCTCCTCTTCCCCTTTGTTAAATCTTTTCTTCTTTTTCCTGCACCTAGGGACACAGGTACACAGCACAGGCAGACACTCCCATGTGTGAGTTTAGCTGCCGCACACAATCTCTTTAGAGTGATGTTATTAAATATTGGTCAGGGTCTAAGATGAGTAATTATCAACCATATTGTAAGTTAAGTACATCATAGTTAAGTGGATTAGGTTCCGATGTGAGCTTTCAGTGGTAGTGTGCATGGGGAAGCCAACTACTGTTGTTTCTGTAAGAAAATGTATCCTAACTCTCAAAAGTTGTCTAAAACACTTTGGAATATAAGATATATGTGGTCTGGGACTACTATATGTATCTGTTTTGGGAAGAGGTCACATTGGTAAAAGCACTGTTTCTATAACTACTAGCTATTAATAAATGTATGCCTTTTCCTTCACATGTAAATTTATTTTAATTATAATCTCTAATACTGAAAAAAAAGAGTGAAGCCATTCAGAGTAGTGAAATGTAATTACCTTCTGTGATTTAAAAGATGTTTTATTATTTAATTTGAATCTACTTACAATGAGAAATGTCTAATATATAAAGCAATGAATGAGAAAAATGTATATCCTAAGTCATCATTAAAGACAAATCCACAGCTTAACAATGTGACTTAAAAAGAAAGCTGTAGAGCATGCAACTGCACTAACACACAAGGTTAGAAATAAAAGGTAAAAGTACATTTGTTTTGTATTTACATCTGTAAATATACAAATATAAAATTTACCAGATCTACCCTGTAGTGTAGCACTGCTTAATTTCCAAATACAGTTACTCAAAATTCCTACAGAAGCTAGGGATTTAGCTCAGTGGTTCTGCCACCTGCCTCACAAAAACAAGGTCCCCAGTTTGATCCCTGGTATAAAAAAAAAAAAAAAATCCTACAGAAACATCAAAAATGTTCCAGTCTACTTTACTAAACAGTAATGAATACTGTGTTCTAGAGCTATTACAGCTAAAAATACTATTTTTTTAAAGTTAAATAGTTTAGGGAATAATAGAAGTATCATCATTCTTAAATGTTTTTTAAATTCCATACATGTATGTTTTTAAATTAAATGGATCAATTATGTTAAAAAACTGATTTATTTAGTAGAAATCAGTTCCAGAACCAAAGTTATTCTCTTGGTAGAGTGTCAAAATTCATATCTCCAAAGCTTTTTTATATTAATCTACTCAAATAATTTTAAACAGTGTAATCAAGGGAGTCCCTGTTTAGCATCTATGTACTCTACACTGGCAGCTGGAAAGGACTGCTGCCAGGGCAAAGTTCTCTAGGCTCTGATCTAACCCTTCAGCCGATGCCCATGTTTAGTGTTAAACTGCTGACCACTAGGGATCGAAGGCATGGAGAGGCACAGAACCAGTACTTGGTTTGGGAAAAAAGGTGAAGATTAAGATGGAACATTTAGTTTCTCCTATAATCAAGTCCCAACTATACCATAATAAAGTTTCGATCAAATCCTGATTAGTTCTTCCCCATTAGTATACAGTGATTAGATACTGAAAACAATAAAGAAAAACAATTGCAAATACATGAAGAAATAGAAATAGGAATTTTTCACAAGACCTTGGATCAAAAAAAATTACAAAAAGATCTCTTGAAAATAATCACTATTCGTAAGCTTATTAATACACAGAGATCCTCACTTTGTTTAAACTAAGTCATGTTAACTTACTAATAAAATAGTAAACAAACCAGCATTTTAAACAATTTTATAAATTACTTGTTTCTTTTGTTAGCATCACTCTCTCAACAGTTACAAAAATAACACTACAGGACTATTCACCTAACCTGTCTCCATCTCTTGCAAAGTCCTGGGTCCTGGGAAGAAGATGGTCATCAATCTTCACTGTAGATGTCCCCAGCAAAAGGCAGATGCATGTGGCTGCCAGTGACATTGGGCAATCGAGATAAATCTGGCAGGCTCTGAATCCGAGACCTGAGTTCTTTGCGTACCAGGGAAACTCTGGCTAACTTGCGCTTGTATTCCTGCAATATCAAATCATTTTGTTAACATCTGGAGGTTCAAAGATCTACCTAGTTAATGCTGTTCATAAAATCTGGCATTATACTCAGTTAATGTCAAATTTAAAAAGTTACTCCAGTATTGTTTCAATATCACAACACAGGCTATGAAAATATATAGGTAAAATAAAAAATTTTGAAAAAAAATTTATGGAAACAAAACTTTTTACATAAGAGAGGGAGGGAGGGAATGAGAAAGGGCGAGATGTACCATGTACAGGTGCAAATTCCCTAAAATGAATGTTATCGTTATGTATGCCTAAAACATACCAATAAATGTTTTGTTTTTTAAAAAAGGGGTAGAAACCCTTTAAAAAAATCTTTTAACTGTAGACCAATATCAGTATGCCTAACTTCAGCATATAAGATTTCCAGGTATTGAATTTGAATAATTAAAATTACTTATTTATCTTTACAAGTTAAATTGAAACTTAGCAGTTTTCAATTGTTAATGTGGCAACAAACCATCACAGTATTATCAGTAACCAGAACTATCCCCAACAGAAAAACAGCCGTTTCATATTCATTGCTTTTTACAACCACTGCACACTGAAGTTTACATTTATCATTACGTTTAAAAATTATGGTGATGGACCAGGGATTTAGCTCAGTGATTCCGTCACCTGCCTCGCAAGCTCAAGGTCCCAAGTTTGATCCCCAGTACAAAAAACAAACAAAAAAAACCCAATGATAATTGACTGAATAGACAATTAGATCTATTAGAATGTTACTTGTTCATAAGGAAGAATGTATTATTGTACAATTTTTTAAAATTTGGATAGCTGTACTCCAATGTTTCCTTTGTAAGGTTATATATTTTACTTTATGTATTTAAAAACATTTTAACTTGAAAGCCTGCAAACAGGGAAGGAAGCTGACTGAATGCCAGTCAAGATCATCTTTGGCTTTGTGGGAACAGCCCCTCCTTTGGATCCTCAACTAAATCTTCTACATGGGGTGGCAGAGGATACCTTCTACACTCTATCACCTAGTAGAGATGAGGCCAGAAGGGTGAGTCTAGAAAATGGGTATTCTTCCTTTTAGAGAGACTGTAATCTTCCCCCTCTAACCATAGAGATGAGGCCAGAAGGGTGAGTCTAGAAAATGGGTATTCTTCCTTTTAGAGAGACTGTAATCTTCCCTCCCTCTAACCAAGGATGATCCACAAACAACAGAGATTGGGTTACGTGATCATCGGCTTTACATTTTATACAGGTTAAGTGAACATTTTGTTACTTCTATATAGATTTAACTTCTTCATTAGTGTATCTCAACTCTTGCTGCACATCAGAATCACTTAGGGTATTTCTGATTTTTCAAGAGAACTACAGACTGTACTGCATATCAACTAAGTATCTGGAAAGGAGTCCAGAATATATGAATTTTGTAAAAGTTCTGAAAATATTAATACAGAGCTAGAATTGTGAACCTCTTCTCCACACTAGTGAGGCTTCTTTGTATTACTACACTTGATCTTAGCCAAAAGGCCGAAAAGCGATTTCTTTGTAGTACTGAGAATCCTCTTTAGAGGTGTCCACTTTTACCATGTCCTTGTGTCCCTGCATTTCTAATCTGTATTGAAGGTAAAGGTGTTGTAAGATACTTCAACACAGTCCTGTAATCTCAAGGCATGATGTTGCCTCTTGATTTCTCCCTTTATCAGTGGTACAAACTGGAATGCCATGTAGGTTTCAATGTTAGATGGTATATAGAAGGTAAGAACAGTGGTATTTCACATTCTGGGTGCATAATTCTCAACAGAATCTCCTGTTACACATCTCCACCTCCACATGTATCTTGTTCACAACATGCTAGTGTGATAGCAAACACATATACCTTCATCTGCTTCACATCAGTGACCTCCATAGTTCTTAGCCACATTACTCTTGAATACCCAATAAACTCTGGAGTCAGCTCAATATACTGATTCTGTTCACACACATCTAAAATGAATTTATCCTCTGCTTGCTTGGTGCTGTATGTTTTGAGTTTACTGTATCCTTGGCAGTCATTTCTGCCAACCCTAGTTTCTAACTTTCTGATCTCCAACATCCAGACAGTCTTATTTTTTAATTACAAAGAGCTGTCTTTAAAAGGCAGGCAGTGTCATGCACTTGTAGTTCCAGCTACTTCGGAGGCTGGAACAGGAGGATGCCTTGAGGCCAGGAGTTAGAGGCCAGCAAGAGTGAACTGCCTGTTAACAGCCTAAAGAAACTGAATGAAATCCAGTAAATTACCTTACTGTATTATCTAGTACAGTCCTAGAAATTTTATACTGACTCACTGGTGGTTTAGAAAGGGGCACCAAGATCCCAGAGCCTGGTGTGATGACAATGCTCACAATAATACATGTTACTCTGGCTCTCGTGTACACTAATAGACTTTTCTCGGATCAGAACCATAACAGCACCACTCATGTACTCCTCCTTCAAAGCACTTTGACTACTTTCTCTACTGTCCCTTCGCCCACAGGACTGTTAAGTGCTGTAGTGACAGTCCAACACACAGTAGGTGTTTTTGAAACACTGGGGATATACTGTCAAGCAAAATAGAAGTGAGTGGTATCTGAACCCACAGTGCTCCCTCCTTTCCCCTCCCACCTCAGCAAGGCATGGCCTCTACTTTCTCAACTGCTGCCATTCACAACACAGATTACTCTCCTCTGAGTGGCTAATGCTCCCAGACGAAGGGCTTTATTCCCAGAAAGCGTAGGCTGGCAGAATTTCTCACCCTACCACTAGCTGCCTAGAATTCAAGTCCTAAGCTAGGGGAGTTAAGAGCCTGGGAGAAATCCTTTTTTGCCCAGTACCCACTCTACCTTGGATGTGAAGCACTGAGAAAACTGGGTTCCCAATAACTCCTGGCCTCAATTCAGGTAGTGGCTCTATATCAGAAGAGACAAGCTGAGACAACCTCAGACTGCTTTCTCCTCTTCACCAAGAGTGGGGTTATCATTCAGGGAAAAGCTTCCCACTGTACCCACCCCCAGGGCCAGAGCCCCAACTCAAGAGTTAGGTCTATGGGAAGAAGCAGGCAGTAAAATAGTTCCTAATCTCCAAATCAGATAAATACAAAACAATCCATAGACCTATCAAAGCAAAAATGCAGAAAATTAAAACAAAAAAATCTTGAAAGGAGGGAGAGTAACATTCTACTTCTCAGAAGGAACTCCAGAAAGCAGCAGGAAAATATTCCAAGTGCTCAGAGGAAAAAACTTCCAACCAAAAATGTTAAATCTGGCAAAGCTACCTCAAAAATTAAAACTTTCTCCAAACAAAAATGGAATCTGTTGCTAGCAGACCCACCTTACAGAAATAATAAAGGATAAAAATTACAGAAAATATTAAGATAAAATATTAGGATAAAAACAAATGACCTCAAAATTATTGGAATCTGTTGGGTGTTGTGGCTCATGCCTGTAATCCCAGCACTCAAGAGGCTGAGGCAGGATCACTGTGAGTTAGAGGTCAGCCTGAACTATATAAGACCCTGTCTCAAAAAAAAACTTACTGGAATTCCCCCCACCCAACCCCCCAAAAGAACCCCAAACCACAAGAAGCCATTGTGATCCCAGCAGCTGGGGGGCTGAGGAAGGAGGATCACTGTGAATTCAAGGCCAGCCTGGGGTGAATATTAAGTTCAAAGCCAGCCTGAACTACCTAAGACACTGTTTCAAAACAAACACACACCAAGGAATCCCAGTAGTTATTATTGTTGTGGACTAAATGTGTGTCCTCTTCTCCCTAAATCTATGCTGAAGCCCTAAGCCCCAATATGACTATTTGGGGATGAGGCCTTAAAGAAAGCAAAGTTGGTATTTTCATAGCTTTCCTATGAACCTAAAATTGCCCTAAAATGTTTTTTTAAAATCTAATGGACAAATTAGTTTTCCCCAGATCCAAACTTCTTTGCCTATCTTAATCTTCACAAAAATCCTAAAACACGTTTTATAGATAAGAACACATTTAATATACTGATTCCCCCTTTACTTGCCAGTGTCAACACTACTACCCTAAAGAATGCAGTCTGATTTTTTTTCCTCTACAATTGTCAAATCAATTTATTCAGTTCCAGCTTCTAAGGCTCATTCCCTCTATCTAAGCCCTTCCATTCTTCAAAAGTTTACCCACAATATGAGTGAACATAAATTTTCACTCTAACTGAAGTCCTTTCCTTTTTTTTCCTGCCATCCTTACTTCAGGCTCCCAGCTAAAGCTCTCTGACCTGTCTTACCAATGTATATGAATGCATGTCTGATGAAGTGTGTCGTATCTTCCCAAAGGCAGGATCATCTTTTTTTTCATTAAGTTCTAGAAATTTGTTTTAAATAACCTAGTTGATTAAAAGGAAATTCATGATAAAAATAGAAGATACTTGAGGAAAGATGTAGGAAGTAAACTCTGCATAGACAGTAAACAATGCCTCTAAACTAATGATTATAGCAAAAAAATGTTATCACATTAAAACTGGCAGAAACATTCTTTATACTGCCACAACCCTTCAACATTGATAAATCAGGAGGTATGACATACCCCTATGCACCATACTTGTTAGTTTGAAATCTGAACCATTAGAAAAATTTAGTATATATCAAGTATCCAAATTTTAATGTTTCAGACCTATGTTAAGAATGACAGGGCCGGGGATTTAGCTCAGCGGTTTGGTGGCCTGCCTCGCAAGCGCAAGGACCTGAGTTCGATCCCGGTACCAAAAAAAAAAGAATGACAACTGCCACTGATTTTTTTTTTTTTTTTTGAGTCAGGATTTATGTAGCCCAAGCTGGATTTGAACGCACAGTGATCCTCGTGGGAGTGCTGAGATCACAGGTGTGCACCACCACACCCAGCTTGCCACGAAAAATTTTCTTGCTCTAGACACAATGTCCTACAATGTGCTATTACTCATTTTTATTTATTTTACTGAAGTTATTAAAGATACTGGATTTTGTCTAGTTTCATATCCAT